ACCACAAGCACAGCAGCAACAAAACAAAACCAGCAGTGCTAGCAACGCCAACAGCCCAACTGCAACCACAGTGAAATATGAACAACAAATCACCGAAAGTGGCGTTCACGACTCGTGAGCACGCTCCACACCCCGCCCCGCACTCCCCACCATCCCCCTCCGGGTTGGCTCGGAAGAAAGCAACCCAAAACACTCCAGAAGGGTAGACCAAGCTCACTCGCCGTGAGTCTCACTCTTCCTCGCCGGCTCCGGGTCGTGTGTCCGGCCTCTCGGCACTCTCAATCCTGGACGGGCCATGGAAGCCAAACCAGAGGGCTCTCCCAGGAGGGTCGGCCATGGAATTGTTTCCCCAAAGGGCGCTGCCAAGAAAGAGGTCCACACTAGCATCACCGGGTCTTTGGATGAGCCCTCCTGCACGGCCAACCGCGAGGTCCAGCCCCACCCATCTCCCAGACTCCAGTATTCGGAGTGGTTACCGACACAGGGCCAGCTGAGCTGCCTTTGGTGCCAGCGTCTGAGAGGACGAGCGGTTAACTGCGAGTGCTCAGCGTCACAATTCCCCTCACCATCCGCCGGCCCGTGAAAAGACCCACCAGCTGCAAACAAAGCACAAACAACAAAGGACATCCACAAACCAACCAACAAGCGCATTCAGCAAGCAAGCAACCGTCTAAGCCCAAACAAAAATAAACAAAATATAGGCGTCAACCCTTGAGACCTAAACCCTGAGTCGCTAAAATCCCAGTTGTTTCTATAGGGTTTTCTTTCTCTCGTATGTTTTTCTACTAGCTTTCTGAGTTTCTTTTGACTGTTATGGGTTTTCTATTGGTGATATTTGTTTTCTTGGTTTTTATTGGTTTTTTTATGGGCTTATATAGGCTTGAAAACAGGTTTTCAATTGTTTTGTATTTTAAGTCTTTAAGTTTTTATTGGTTCCAGATTCTAGTTTTGACCCTTTTTGTTTAAACCTCTCAGCGCTAAACCAGCAACCCTAAATTAAACCCTGGGCCTTGGGCCCAACCCTCCCACATGCTGACAAGAAGTGTCGACGCAGACACCAGGCGATTTCGCGTAGACCCCTGAGATGCATGCTTGAGCTTCCGCTTGTGCAACAGCAAATGATGGTCCATGCCGAGTTTCGCTCAAACTCGAAATGCAAGAGGTTTCACATACGGGAATCCGAGCGCCTAGATGCTTGCAGGTCTGGGATGCAAAGCCGGCGATCAGTGCCAACACTCAACCCGTCAGAACATAATGGGCAATCTCACAGACGCAGACAACCCACAGCATGCCGGGACCTCAGGTGTGGCAAACAAAGGCAAACGACAGCAGTCTTTCTAGCCTGGATCTCGGGAACATTGCAGCTTCTACGGGCGCGAAGTTGTGTGATGTCCTGTACCTGAGTATGGCTCCACTAAACATGGCTGTTGCCTCCTCAGCACCAAATGCCCAAAATCTCAAACTCTCCTTATGGGGTTGGCCGTAAATAAAGGCTGCGAGGATGCAACAAAATCAACTGAAACGCTGGGATTCTCGCATATGAGGTGTGTAAAGCAGATGCAAGTGTTCTGCTGGCAGAGATGAGCCCCCTTAACCCTAAACCCTAAACCAAAACCCTAAACCCTACAGCCTAACCCTAAAAACCCTAAACCCTAAACCCAGTGTCAGCCTCCGCGAAAGCGCGAAGGTTTAAGTAAATTGACAGTGTTAGCCAACGCGAGGGTTTAAGTAAATTGACAGCGTTAGCCTGGCGAGGGTTCAAGCAAATTGACAGTGTCAGCCGATGCATTGGTTGTTATTGGTTTCTATTGGTAGTATATGTTGGTTTTCTATTGTATTTCTAGCGGATTTGTTTCTAGTGGTTTTTACTGGTTTGCTATTAGTTGTTTTGGCATTCTGCTGCTTTTTATTGGGTTTTATTGGTGTCTATTGGTTGGGTTTGGGGTTTTGTTTAGGGTTGAGGGGTTGAGGGGACCACTGTGAATTTACTCAAAATCCTCGCGGTGGCTAATTTACTTAAACCCTCAGGGGGCTAATTAACACTGTCAATTTACTTGAACCCTCGCGGGCTCTAATTAATTAACACTGCCAATTTAGTTGCACTCTGCTGAGTACTTTGCGGGAGAAGGTCTTGGATCACGAAGGCGAAGTGGAACATGTCGCCTGGTTTGGCTGCAAGCTTGACGTCATCTTGCACGAGCACTCTGTGCCAAATCTCTGAGCCCTGGAATTCCAATGAAAGCAAAACCTGGCTGCATACGGTTGAGTGCCGGCTTAAGAGGACCCGACGTCTGTTGAAGCGAACCACCTCCTCGCCCAGTGGCCTTCAAGGGTCGCCGCGGCAGATCCGCCATGATCGTTGCAAAGTCGTCGACGCCATTAAAGCGCAGGGCCCAGCCGGCACTTCCAGTCCGCAGTTGACCTTCAACCTATCGGAGAGAGGTCAAGCTGTGAAGGGGCATGGCATGGCATCCTGGCATAAACCTGATGTGCTTTGAGTGACGGTGTGCTGCACATTTGCTGGTCAACTGGAGGAGATGCAAACGTGCGGTTTGTGACACATCTTTCCATGTGACAATGGCCGATGTCGCTTGAACATCGGAATGCACCACCCAGAGAACATCAAAGAACTATTCCATCACCCACAGCAAACTGTAAGTAAGGTGTTTAGCCCCCATGGCCAACACAGAAAAAACACAACAGCAAACACCCTCTAATTTGTTTCAACATCTTAGCCTTGTAAGCCGACAATCAACCTGAAGACAAGCCCTGCTTGCTGCCAGTGCTTTTCTTGCCGAGGTGTCAAACAGCTGTTCGAGGCTGATCTGGGTCTGCGAAAACACCAAACCCGACCTCTGGCTTCACGACCTGGCGCAAACTGCAAGACACAACAAACACAGCAGCATGGGCCACCCCGCCTGGCCACTCCATGGATCACGAGTGCCCTGCTTCAAGCAAGGTTCATGATGGTTCATGGTGCACCCATATACAATACAGAATGAAGCTACAAAAGCTGGAGGGATAAGCATGGGGAGCTCCAGCAGACCACTACAATCCTACTCAGAACCAAATCTCTCTCTCCAGTCGACACTTAATCAAGCTTCACATTCCGCAAATAGCTAGATGAAGCTTATTAGCAGAGTTGATTGCCAACAGTGCGGTATATCCCTGACGTTCCTCTCACCGGCAAGTCACACGTTTGCAGTAGAAATGGGAGTGGGCGCCTAAGGGGATAAATAACCCTCTGCCAAGCCCCAATCCGTCGGGGCTTTGTGTTGCAGAAATCCATGCCAGCAGCAACTACTGATTGATTGAACCACAGCGAATCTGCTAATTTGTCAGACCATTGGAGATCCAGCAAGGGACGACATTATAGATAAACACTGCCGAGTAAGTAAGCCCGAGAGGAGTGCTTTTGATATCTGCTGATCCATGGAAACAATGTGTTCTGAGGATTTAAGATAATGACACGATGCATGTTGAACCTGGCAGTTTGTCGTTGACAAACTCCATGACCCGAGAAAATGGATTCGAGGAAGTGCTGAGCATCAAGGGACGACGACTTGAATCTGTTGAGACAACCCGCAAATCCACGCTCGCCTTGTCTAGCTTTGAGCCCTTATCGTCCTCTGGCACAAGCACCTTGTCTATGAGACCATACCTTGGCAGCACCGTGGCGCTGGTACGGATGATGAAACCAGGGCGTCACCGACAAGAGAGTCTTGGATGTAGGCTCGACTGCCTCTGCTGCGGTGAGGTAGAAATTTCGTCGTAAGTCCTGTCAATCCGTGACTGCCATTTCGATCCAGCCTACAAATTTCGTGTCACGGCTCCTTTCGGATCTGCTCCATAGGTCTGCCAGTAATGCTGGACAGCTCCTCCTCTATACCTTCTCGTTCAAAGGGATCAACTTCCGGGGATGCTTCTCAAATCCCAAGCTTGGGTCAGTGCGCTCACTTTCTCGCAGCATCTGTTTTGCCTGGGCCAAGTCGACATTCACAAGACCACGTGTCAAGAAGGCGCGGCTCCAACAGGCGGTGCGCCTCCAACTCAATTTCGGTAGCCTGACCTCGAACCGGACTTTCCAATCCTGTCCGGTCAGACCAAGCTGAAACATCAATATCAGCAAATCAACGGCACGGCTGCTGGGTCCTGTTTTGGAAAGAAGAAAGAGCGAGTTGGGCGTTGCAAAGCGCCGCCCAGGCCTGTCATCAGCGACAGCTTCGAGGATGTTGAAGGATTTGATTTCGGAATCTCCCCAGCAGCTCTTGAGGCGCATGCGAGCCAGCAGCTGCTAGAAAAGCACCCATTCCGGCACAAAGCGAGTAGCTGACAGTGGTGACCTGAGAGACTGGATCGTAGCGCATTGTGCATCCAGTTCAAGCGTCACTTGCTTGTCCTACTCGGCTCGGGCCGAAGCTTTGCAGCCTTTCGCCTTCAGTTGGCCGATGGTATCATACAAGGCCAGTGCCTGGGCCGCAGCCGCTTTTGGAACTCCTCTTTCTGCACACAGCTTTCGGATTTTGCGAATGGTACAAATTTGGTGCGAGAACACGCGAAGCAAAAGCGAAGGTGCCAACGGAAAGCCCCAACACTCCGGAGCCTCTGTGTGATCTTGACAGGCTCACCAAAAAAATCCAGCTGTCAGCACTGGATCAAGGGCGGAGTGAAAAAGGTGGCGAGAGTAAGCGCTGTCGGCACTAGCGTCCCTCCACTCGCGGTGGGCTCCTGGGAAGATCTGCAGCAACTTTGTGCGAGAGACTGGTTACTTGCAGAGTCAACATCGCTCGAGCTACGGAGGGTTCGCTGTGAGACAGGAATTCCGAATTTATGGAAGGGTTTGTGAAAAATGTGGGATGAAAGGACCGCGGTGATGCGTGCGAGGGGACTATCGGGGCGGCAAAGATAAAATATTGGCACCAGTAGTGATCTGCAGTGCAAATTATCTGAGAAGCATGCTGGCTTCAAAGCCGCTCCGGGGCTGGAGAAGTAAATTTGTACCTGAGCTTCTGTCGAAGTGTCACGACAATCTTCCAGACTCATGACTCAGTTGACGGCTGGTTTCTTGGCATCTTCTGACTGAAGGTAGAGCAACATTGCCAGATACGCATTGGCCATGTTGTCATCGATGTACCTGCCCGTTCTGACATGCAAGCAGGACAAGCAAGCGAATCCAAGTGGAACATGCATTCGACTGTCTGAAGGCACTCCGACACCATAAGGATTCTCTCTCGCAGAAGCAGCTCCCGCACAGAGAGCCACTGAAAGCGCTGCGTGTTTGGAATCCTGACACGGGCTCGGGCTGTCATGGGCAAAGAAGAATATCGGCAAAAAGGCAGCCCCGAAGCAACCTCCACGGCATAAGGGGCTCTGCTTGTCGAGCAACTTGCACTCGCCTGCTGCATCGTCTAAGTAACCTTTGAAGCTGGACCACATGCGGATGCACGGCAGCACGCAAAAACTGCCTCGACTCGGCTGTCAGCATTCCGGTGTCCTAAGCTTGCAGACTAGTTATTCGTTCAACACCTGTGCCTAAACAAGTGAATCTTCTGCGATGCCTGCCCGGCATTGAAAATGAACACTTCTGCACGATCACGGGGGTACCTTAACAGGACTAGATTGCAAATGCACATCCGAAATTGGTAAACATTCGGGTAAACTTCTGAAGCCTGTATTGCCAGACTGACATGCTTTGCTAATCCCGGACTGTGTGGGAAAACACAACGTGCAACATCCTGTCCAGCCGTCTGTAGATGTTCAAAGGCAAATGCGGACGAGACTCGTCGTGTGGTCGATTTCGAATTCTCAAAAGCCCGTAATGTCACTAGTAATAATGTCTGATACATAAATCGCATTGGACGCTACCGGAGCTTGGTAGGTCCATGAAGCATTGCGCTTGTGTGGGGCGTTGATCTAGGTCCTGCCACCTTTCATTCCAAAGCGGCTGATGTTCGGTTGCTGTGAGGACCAAACAGCACTCCGTTCTTTCCAACATCGTCGTTTCAAGAATGGCTGAAGGCTGCCACGTGCGCAAGTGTCTCCCTTTTCACATCGCGTGTGCATGTCAGGCTGTCAACACGAAGTGAAGTCGCCTGTTTATCCCGGCTCGTGTTGTTTGGTTTGTACAGGTATATCCCTGTTTGTGGTATTGAGACTGATGGCGGGATCTTTGTACCACCCTAAATGCTGGTCGTTGATGCGATTTGGATTGCGCGCGCCTTTTAGGAGTGCGCAGCAACCGCAGGAACTGTCCAAAATGGTCGAACGACAACGGTTTCACTTGATTCGAAGCTTGTTTGTGGATGACGACCAACTCAGGAACCAAATTCGGAAACCGCGTGGTCAATTCTGGAACCGGAATTCGGGAAAAACCGCAAGTCTGGAACAGCATTCGTGGACTGCCTGGTCCAATTCCGGAACTGGGACGACCCAATTCGAGAACCTTGAACTCGAAATTCAGGAACAGTCAGTCAGCAGAAAACGCGGACTGCTGAAGAAACGCACATTCGCCCGACCCTTCGGCACCGAAAACCGTTAGGAGCCACCTCGGGCCGTCGCTTGGCTCTACCGGTACCGACCAAGGGGACCCCAAACGAAGTAATTAATATACTAAAGCCACACGGGCAAAGCTCGAAAAGCGTCTTCACTTTTTGCAAACACTCCAGAAAATATCGTGCGTAGAAGGGCTGCCGGGCACTGCCACTCAGCAGAAGCTACTGTTATGCGTTGCGAGGTGCTGTCGATGCATGCTCCGTCTCTGATGCCTCCATGGGCAAGCCTCGATGGCAGCGCATGACACTCCAGTTGTTGCAGTATCGTCGTGGCAAATTCGGCCAGCAACGAAGCTTCCAAAATCATTAGTGATGGCCACGGCAATGACTGTACCTTGGCTGGGCTTGCAACAGTCACGTCCTGTCGAGATGTGAAGATGTGACTATACCTTCAGGTCAGCACAGAGAAGAAGCCCGCTTCGTATCATACACGGCACCTGGTGCAGCTCAGCACACACACACACACAAGAGAAGCACAAGCACATCCGCTCAGCACAAATTGCCTTCCGCATGTCTGTCACAGCTACGGATCTAACAAAACAGCTTATTCAGATCCTTCGGTGCTGCGGATGGGTAAGCAGCTGATCTCAACAAGGCTGTCCCCCTATTGGATTTATAATTTAGTAGATTGCCGGCAGTGAGGTTAAACGGGGCTTGGAGTCTGAGCATCTGCGGGCAGTCTGCAGGCCTGAGACACGAGGGAGCATTTTACACTTTAACACAAAGCACCTAGGATTGCTGCATCCGCGCTGATTCGATGTAAGTAGGCTGCTGTGCTGGGGTTTGGACAATCGTACCGGAGCGGTGTCACGATAAGGCTGGCAGAACAGCATGCTCAAAACATCTCAGGGCATGCGACCTAGGATTTAATACTGAAGAACGAGACAACAGCAGAATTTGAGCTTTGAACTTCCGACTTGATGTGGCGTTCGGAGTTCTGCCGGTGTCCACCGTTTGGGACGCGGCCCAAACCCTGAGGTCGACATGTCCTTTTCCCTGCGTTCCTGCTGGAAAGCTGGCAAGCACCTGTCTCTGTGTCAATGATTCACTGGTGATGCTCCTCTGACTCTTGTTCCTCATCGCATAAAATCTGGAATGCATTCGACGATGTGTGGGCAGAACGGTGGCTCCCCAAGTGGTGGACGTGCAGCACAACTATGAAACTGTGAAACTGTTGAATTCGCAGAGGTGCCGCATTCGCGGACCAATGTCGCAGAATCACGACAGCAGCTAGGCCTGTGGGCCGCGGTCAAGGCTTGAAAGTCTTGCAAGCCACAGTCTTGGCACCGTGCCTGCTGCCCTTTGGCCACCTTGAGCATCTTCTCCAAGCGCTGCCTGCGCAAAAACATCCCATGTGCTTGTCGCATGTTTGCAAGGAGTGTAACGGCATCAATGCCTGGTCGTCTGCTCGGCTTGAAGCTTTTCCTTGAGAGGTTGCATCATCTTGGCCACCTGCGAACTTCATCTCGGCAGTTTGTTTGATCTGTGTTTGCCCCAGTCCAGTCCCCTCCTCCCTCCCAGACGTTCCTCCACGCAGTCAGCTGCCCGCACGAGGGATATGTTGGGAACTTCCCGGTCCGGTTGAAAATCAGCAGGCTGGTTCTGAGTCTAGGGTTGAGGGTCTGGGTCTAGGGTTTAGGGCTCAGGGCGTGCGTGCGTGCCGTCCTCGCTCATGGAAACGGTTGGGAACCGGCAGGGGACTACGGGGAGGTGGTCAATGAAGGCACCCCTGGCAACGCCTGAGCAAACATACCTGCCTCCTCACTTCATCGGGGCTGCTGTGCGTGCTGGCTGTATCGGCAACACCCCGGAGGCTCGCCGAGGCGGTGTGGCTTAGGCTCAAGCTTCAATTGGCTTCGCGTTGCTGTGCCACTCAATGTGCTGCTTGCCGCTGATCAGACCTCGTCTTGCTTTTGCTCGGCATCTTTTCTTGCTGTCGCAGAAGTTTCTGCAAGTTTACAGTGTCACCCCATGCAAGACGCTCTTCTCTGCCCTGCAATCGTCTCCTGTCAATGGAGTCCTGCGGAATCCCAGTGGAAACAGAGCTAAGGTTCCCAAACGCCTTTCGGTGCACTGGGTCCCCAAAGTCCCCCATGTCATGTCAACGCTCGGCTTGGTTTGCATCTGTTCACCGACTCTGTTGCATCCTGTTTCCTTTTGGTATGCTGCTCTTCTGCACCGGTCTTGCGTGATGTGGACTCCCCATTCAATTTGCAGTTGGGCACTTCACGGCTGTGGCCCCACAGCACTGAGGCACTGGCACCAGTCAATGCTCAAGGGCGCTTGGCAATGAGCGGGCACATCCCTCCAAACATGGCTGCTCCCAAGACATTCTCCCTCTCTCTCCTGCTTGCCTGGTTCGGGTTTAGGGGAATGGTTGTCCCTCCCTGCCGCCCATGCTCTCCGTCTTTCCTCTTTCTCTCTACTGACCAACGGTGATGGACAGGTTCGGCAGACGGACACGGATTTGAAGACTTCCTGTATCCCTCTTCTCCTCGCCTCGGCTGCGACCGCCTCCTGTACCTGCATATGAGGCATTGCCCTCTCTTGGGCTCGCAGCGGCTCGCGGCTTGATGCAAAGTGGGAGGTCCTCCTTGCGAAGAGATGCCGTCGTCAAACCGGTGAGAGAACTCCTGAACAAAGCAGTCGCTACATGGAAGCTCGATCACCTGTTTCGGCTCACCTCGAAGCTGATTGACTTGGTCTTTGCTGAGCCTGCAAGCAGGACTGCCCTCTTCTCGAAGCCGGACAGTGTCAGAAGAACAACACTTTGCCAGGAATGCGCTTCGCAGTGAGGCGACACTAGCCTCATGAGATTCGGGCAGACTGACACGAGAGAGCTTCTGAACCTCTGAACGACGAGAAATTATGTCCTCTGCGCAAGAAGAGGGCGCGGGCTTGCAGTAGATACCCATCATGTGCAAGTTTAGCAGAGTTGAACAGCATCGAGGCTCAATCATCGCAGGACAGGAGGAACTCTTGTATAGAACTACACAGAATCTTGGATCCTGACGGTGCTGCCAGGTCGCCTACCTGTCATGCTTCTGGACCTCAGCGAAGCAGGACATAGGAGCACTCGTCGCCAGCGACTCTGCGAAGCATTGCGATATGACTTACATACAGAAACCTGTGATCAGCACTCTGGCACTACCCGTATCTGCAACATGCCTACTGAGGCAACGACGCCGAAGTCCCAATCTGTCAATGCTCGACTTCACAAGTTCGCATGGTAACAGCATTGCCCAAGCGAGGACCCGATGTGTGAGGCACCTTCGGAAGCATGGGTGTGAAGCTCGATGCTCCTGCATCTGGCCAGGACACGATGAACCGTCGACGAACAGTGAGTGATACTGTGACGTCACTACGAGAAGCGCAGCAATCCACATGGTCCTAGAGCCGGCAAGGACCTCGTCAGTTGAGCTCAGGCTTGCCACTTCGATTTGACACTTGTCGGACACCAGAACACCAGAAATGCTTTGAAGCCAAGACCCATGCATGCACTGATGCAAATCATGCAGTGGCCTTGGACTGAAACCGCACTTGCACAAGTACCTGCACTCGGCAGTTGATCTGCTGAGGTCGATGCGGTGCATCCGGCTCTGCATCCCCCTGCTCCTCGCCTGCGTTTCGACAGATGCTCACAGCTCCTGTTCACAACACACTCGCAATTATCGCCCAGCCATCCGGGGCAAGCTGCTTCATGATCTGCCTCTTGTCATGCAGCAAAGACAGCGCCTGTCGAATTCAAGCATGCTTCCTGCATCTGGCGACCTCTTGGCCAGCTTCCTCTCCTTGTCCACACGCTCTTGCCTCGACGAAGCGAAACTCTGACTTTAGATGGCGCTAGGGACGACCAAAGGGCAGAAGGAAGGCAGCGGCCAGAGGAGATGGGCAGGATTGGCATTGGCAGACCTAGTGTTGCAGTGTTGCAGCCAAATCACGGTACCCTCTTTTCAAGCAGATACATGCCAAAAGAGGCTGCATCAAAACAGGCCGTCACATTCGGCCGGCGAGCCAAGGCTCGAAAGCATGCCCGAAATGGCGATAAAAGGTCACAGTAAGGTATGGCAAGCCTCTAGCAGGTGTCAAGAGAGAGGACCCCTTCAAATCAGAGATCTTGTAATTCCACATCAGCATTAGCAAGAAAGAATTCGATAGCATGGTCACATGGTGAGCTGTCCCGGCATGTGTTCAAGCAAAGTCGCAACAAAACAAGCTGACAGCAGCTTTCGAACATGAATCGCACAGAGTGATTTTCAGATGCCGTCTCAAGTGTATACTGCAGTCTCGGAGAACAGCAGGAAGCCATGGGTGTCCATAAACCCATAGAATAAGCAAGCATCTTTTCGCACACATCCAGCGCCAGCTGCTCTTGTGACATCGAAGCTTCGGAAAGCTCGTGTGAAAAGAGTAGCCAGGCCCGCTCGGATGTGCACTAACGTAGCCCGGGTCACTGCCTCAGCTTTTTAGGTCCTGCTCGCAGTCAAGCTGACGAATTGTCCAACTTCGCGAGTCTAACTTATCAGCTTTAGCTTTTTGAGGACAGTGCAGCAAAGAATTCCGGTGGCAATTGATTGCTTCGGCCTTTAGACGACAAAACTTTCGCTCCAATAAGTCTTCTCCAGCCAGGGCCGGACGGGTTAAGTGGGCACCATTGCACGGCATATGGCATAGGACTCACGGGCGAAAAGCCGACAACAACCCACCTGGACGGCTTCACTCAATGAGAGCGACCTTGCTTGCAGAACACAAGCCGCGGGATGTTCTGCCTGCATCTAGGCTCTGGACTTTGCCATTTGATCCAAAGGACGTAGGACTCGTGATCGCGGAGCTTTTCGACGCTTCTTGCCAGCATACATCCTCAGCCGCTCAACATTGCAACAGCTGGCCGGTCCAATGATGACCCTTGAACATGTGCCCGGCCCCTCCAATGTGGAGCGAATTCCCTGCAGACTCTATACAACTCGTGTGTGACAGGGAGTTATAGATTCCAACCTGGAAGAAGGTGTGCCAGTAGCCGAAGAACTCGTCTGGAGGTCTGGGCCTCACTGGAAGCCTATGTTCCAAAAAGCCAACGAAGCATGGCTCGAATGGAACAACAGCGTCCTTCAGTATGGAATGGTCATCGTCATGATGGCCCGGTGAATGAAGTTGTTGAACACATACACACACACACACACAGAGACTCTCTCTCACACAGACACACACACACACAGACACGCACCACTTCATGTTCACGGCATGTAAACCGTGAACAAAGACAAATAAACAAGTAAGCTTGAACGAAACAGTGAACAGAGCAATATGGCAATATCGGCAATATCAGAGAATTTCATTATTGTTCTCCTTTCTCGTTTGAGTAAGCCCACGCGAAAGAGTGCAAAGCTTGGTTCGGTTCAGCGTAAGGAGCAAAGTACGAACCAAACGAGAAGATAAGCAAATGGATGCCTTCATCTTACTCTTTCCCTTGAGGTGCCGACTTCTTTCCACAGCCTTCGTGGAACCACGCCTGACATCACAAGATGTGTCTGCATCAAAGGAGCATATCCTGCATCTGCAAGGCCACAACGTGCAAAAATGCTGAACGAACGCTGAGGCTGCGTCGCTAACACTGTTGAAGTCTTCCTCGGCTTCTACGAAAAGCCTTTGCAGAGTTTCCTTGGAAGGAGTGCAGCTGGCAGGCTCGACAAGTCGAACGTCAATTTGCTCAATCCAAGGTTTGCGCCAAATCTCTCAAGTGAGCCTGTGTAGAGCAGCACACTCCGGGAAATGCCATCCAGCACAGCTTCGGCAGTTCGGCAGAGCTGTTACCACAACGCTTCCGCTGGGAGTGAAGAAGGTCGCTGCACAAAAACTCGCCTCCACCTTTCCTGCTCGAGCTTTGAGAACATCATCACCGTTGGAAGACTGCCTGTTCATTTGTGCATTCTCTCAACACTCCAGCACGCTGTTTAGTTGATAACTTGGAACTACATGGAATAAACAGTACTCGCAAGACGGCCTACTGTAGCAGCAGCTCTGACATGATCCAGAGACGACTCCTGGTCGATACCGCACGGAAGGACGGGAAGGACGGGTTCTTCACCCGGCACACGCCCAAGACTTCGTGGGCACATTTTGCCTTTGCACGCAGTCAGGTGGATGGGCGAAAAGGCCTATTATGCTTTAAAGCCGCCATCCACGTTTGATTCCAGGTGGACGTGAGTTCCCACGCGATGCGCCGCGATCCCCGCAAGACTCGGTGCTGTGTCTATCTCGACTGCATGTTGGAACGCGATGCCAACATCCCATGCGCGCTGCTGGCTTCCTGTGACACAGCTGCATGAAGCACATTTATCATGCGACGGAGTGGCCAACGATCCTATGCCATCTGCTCTGAAACAAGCTGACCGGCCCCAGCAAGATGCGACGCCCTGCCTTGCCAGGCCACGGGCCTGCAGATCCAGTCTTGTGCGCTTTAAAAGGGTGAGTCGAATTTAAAGTATCCAAGGCACCTGGACGCAATAGGCAGTCAACTCCAAAGACAGCTCCTTCAGATTGTGACGGAAAGCTCTCTGAACCAGCGTTGCCTTCCAGGAGACGAAGCAGCAATGTAATGCTCAAGCCACAGCCTGCATCAACCCGGCCTCACCAACTTCGCCAAACAACTGAAGAAGCTCGCCTGGCTTGCTGCGCTCTGCTTGACGTACCTGCGGGTTCAGTGCTATGCGCGGGCATCACGTCCCTTCCCTGATGAAAACTACAAGTGATTACCGTATAGCCTGCACCTGTGCACAAAACACCGCACCTGCCTGCAACATACATGCCAGCGCTAGAACTTCTCCTTACACTGAGACCAGGTCGTCGTTTTCGCTCCTCCACAGCTTTGTCACAGGTTTCTTCGGCAACTCGGTTGCCGCTGGGGCATCTTTGAGCCATGGCAAAGCCAGCTGTGCATTCAGCCTTGCCCAAGTTGGGGAAGCCAATGCACAAGTTTTCGCTCCTCCACAGCTACGTCACACAAGTTGTTTCAGCAACTTGGCTGCCTCCTCCCATCAACCCTGGCTAACCAGGGCTCAGAGCTATTCCAGCGGGAGACACCGCGAACCATGTTCGCTCGTAAAAGCCATATCTGGCCAAGGCACAAGCCTGGGCCAGCATTGCCGTAAACGCTCTTGCCACCATGAGGATTGTAAACTGTAAAGCGAACTTGGGAGGAACAAAACGGAAGAAACTTCTTGAATGTATGTTTCCATCATTTTGTGATTGATGCAGCGGCCCCGTCTCCGGACGAGTTGACCGTCTTCGGTTACCTGCAAAAGCCAGATTGCTCCACCGGCTCGCAGGGATCCGAGGTCTAGGCCTAAGCCCATCCAGCTAAGCGGCCAGCAGGTTAGCAAAACGTGACGGCCAAATAGACGGAGAAAACGCTCACACTTTGAGGGCTTGCGGCTTGTTCTCAAAAGCGAGGACGACAAGTTGTACAAGCTGAGGCTAGTCAGCTCGCACCGCCTGGCGTTTGTCAGCCATGTTTCTTGTTTCGGGCTCCTTCACCGAGAGCAGAAGGCTGCCAGAGACTTCGCCAATGTCCGACGGAAAAAAACAAGATCCCACGATGAGCAGCAAAAGCTTCTCCTATCCTTCCCAAAGCCAAAGCCAAAATACCAGCGACATCCGTCCAGCCCAGCAGAGCGCGCAAGAGGAACCATGGTTGTAGGGCGTGCCTGCAGTGTGAAGCATCGTACGTGCCCAGCACAGCATTGATCTCCTTGCTGGGGCGCCAGACTTCTCAAATTTTTTCGAGGTGTTTCTCGGCCTTCCTGAAGACACAAGCCTGTCCAGGCGGTACTTTTCGCGAGTCAGATCGCCTACGTGGCGGGGCAAGCATGCCATAGCCCTAAGAAGAAGAACGCCGTGAAAAACAAAGGCCCTTCACCAGGAAACCCCAAGGTGGAGTCAAAGTCGAAGGCAAGAGGAACATAGGTCAAGGCAGGGAGTCGGGCATCTCGGTCGGGGGGCGACGGTGGAATCCAAGGAACCAGCTTGAGGACAAGACGAGCGCAACCGGCCGGAATCCGGCCAAACATCGGCGTCCCGAGGCTCATGCCCGGTAAGGCCGGGGAGCGCCGAGCACGAGGCTGAAGAAGGCCGACATCCCGAGGCAGGCAGTGTTCGTGGTGTCACGCACGTGGGCCTTCACAGGGGCCAGCGGCAATAACAAAAGGTCCTGCATCATAGACAATGCACCCGGAAACCTGCACCAGGCGTGTTGCTTCGTTCAGCATTCCCCACTTGTCAGCCAAAGCAGGACGGAGAGGCGAGGCGGAGGTTAAGCAGTGGCACCGTCATTGAGCTTCCGAACGAAGCGAAGCCTCCACGTCGCCTGGTCTTGTGTTTGCTGCTGGGCTTGGGCTTCTGCCTTTCGGGGATGCTTCTCCTCTTCGGTTCTTGATCGCCGATCTCTTTGATGCAAGCCAGCGTAGTCGTAGCCCACGACTGCGGCCGCCAAACTGCAACATCATTTTGACTCTGGGTTCGATGTTGGAAGAGCTGTTGAGAAGTGAGGATCTTCCATCAGAGTCAGGAGGCATGCCACCTCCCACAAGAAACGGAGTCGCCTGCGTAAAGGCAATAAGAGACAGGGTTGCCATCTGCTCGGCACCGGCAGTGTTGCCGGCAAGCGTCGCTTCGACGATGTTGGCCAACAGCCAGAAAGTCACCCCGAGCCCTCCTTTGTCCGAAGCGGAAATGACACGGGTCTCCTTGCAGCCAACTCGGCACATGGTGGGAAGCGGCTTTCGACAAGGGAGCCCCGCCGAGAGCCCAGCCCTATCCACCCAATACCCCATTCCAACATCGGAAGAGCCGGCCTGCCAAATGGAAAACCAAAGTGTCGAAAGTATCGCCGTTGCAATCCGGCCTTGACATAGGAACCAAGGCTCGCCAGTAACCTCATCGATCGAGACCGTCGTGTGGCAAGGGCTCCTCGGCAAGGCGGAGGCAGGCACTGCAATCTGGCACGGTTTTCGGAAGATAGCAATTCGGCAAGTGGTATGCCTCTTTGCCTTCGGCTGTTGGGAGCAGCCTCTTCCAATGCATGGTGCCGATCCCGAGCGGTCTCCCTCCGTGGCCGAAAGCCAGTCGCGGGCAGCCTGAAGCACCGAAGGAGAATGGCCACAAAGTGCGCAGCATCGGTCGGGGAGGTCAAAGGGTCGTACAGGACAGCATCGCCCGCATTTGTTTGTCCAGCACAGCAGCACAACAGAAAGAAGCCCTAAAGAGACTCCAGCCAGCACACGTCCGGCCGACGTGAAGGTGCAGGAACGAGGGGCATGGCCAGCCACTCCAGCAGAAGCCCAGGGGGCAGTGAGGAACTCGAAGATCAGCTCCTTGTGACTGCTCTGGTAAAAAAAGCCAGGGCTCGCACGCACAGTCGGCTTAGTCGGAAAAGCGTGGCAAATTGTGGTAAAGCCCTCAAGCGGAAGCGGACGTGTGTAGATCTTGAAACGGCCAAACGTCGTAAAGACTCTGACCCCGGTGCTGCCGTGGCACTTGAGAACCACGTAGAACTTGTTTAAGGGCAGGTGTTGCAGAAGGATATGGAAGGATAATCAAAAACACTCCGCAGCACAACGCCGGCTTGCAGCCCATGGCTGCCGGCCCCGGATCAACAAAGAAGACACCAAGAACAAAACGTCACCAGGCACAGGCAGCAGAAGAAGCAGCAGTTTTCAAAGAAAGTCCAAGAGGGCCTGGCTGCTCAGAGCTCGGCGAAAAATCACGTCGATGGGCTCGACCATTTCCGACAAAATCCGAATTGTCTTCAAGCTCCTGAAGGGCGCCCCGAAGGGAATCAACGGCCGACCTGATGGTCTGCACCCCGAGGACGTAGGGGAGAGGCTGGAGGAGGAAAGAACAAAATGAGCCGAGGGAAGGAAAAGGGATGACCGCAGAGGCCGAAGGGGCTGTTTGCACTCGCTGTGCTGTCGAGTCGTCAGACGATCACTGAAGGGGAGCTTTGGAGAAGGATCGCCCGATGGCACAATGCCGGTGGCACAATGCCAGAGACTGAGTCCCCCGCACGACCAAAATCCCCAGCACTCGTGTGAAAGTCTCATACAAATAGACCAAGGCAGCACGGCCGGTCGGTCGGAGGGTCTGTCTGTCTGTCTCTGTCTGTGCCTGTCTGTGTCCGTGTCTGTGTCTGCCTGTCTCTGTCTGTCTGTGTCCGTGTCTGTGTCTGTCTGTCTCTGTCTGTTTGTGTCTGTCTGTGTCTGTCGATGTCTGTCTGTGTCTGTCTGTGTCTGTCTCTGTCTGTCTCGGTCTCTGTCTGTCTGTCTGTCTCTGTCTGTCTCTGTGTGTCTCTGTCTGTGTCTGCCTGTCTATCTGTCTGTCTGTCTGTCTGTCTGCCTGCCTGCCTGCCTGCCTGCCTGCCTGTCTCTCTCTGCCTGCCTGCCTGCGCGACGTTTGGAGCGGGGTCCTAGAACCCTCGCCCCTGCGCTCTCGCACTACGCCGATGTCCGTTGTCCGTCAGGTCATGGTCTCTTTTTCTTTCGGCAGGGTTATGGGTAGGAGAGTTGCCCCTCCTACCCGCGCGCCGTCGGCGCCCCCGACAGTTGCGGAGGGCAGTTTGTGAATTCTGCACACTCAACGAAGGCAAATTTTGCCAGTTGAGGTCATGGCTCACGACATCAAGGCAACCGTGCATCAGGTCAACGAGGAAAAGGGTAGAGCGCTACCGGTAAAGGGCCAAAGCATCTCAGACCCGCAGTCCGAACCAACTGAAGACTCGGAAACCTGAAGGGAAGCCATGAGTGGGTAGATCCCACGTGCCATTGCACAAAGCAAAATCTGGAAATGTACTGGCCACTGAATTATGAAAGGTATGGTCCTAGGCTGTACTTTGAAGCCCCAGAGTGGGGGCACGGCAAATAGGTAGGGGTTGGCTCCGGCGGCCCGTCTTAAAATTATGGAAAAAGTTGCGCAATAGGGGTTGCCCCCGTGTGTTGAAAAGCAAAAGGAGAAATGCACTCAGTTGAGCAAATGGAGCGAAGCATGCATGCCAGTACATAAAACAGAGCAGCCAAGACTTTCTCTCATATTGAGGGTAAATCTCGCCCTGAGTGGCCCCTCCTGTTAGGGCTTCGTGCGCCGCCATTGCTGTACACCAACCTCGTGAAGTTCGCACTACCCCCTCCTCGGATTCCACACTACTAAGGGGGACTTCGGTGTGCAGCGTTCCCCAACGGCTTGTTCGCCCACTACTCCAAGGACTTTGCTGTGTGCCGCCAGGGTGCGATTCCCTTTGTCCTCATCAGGTCATAAACTTTGTGAAAGTTGTGCAACGGGACACTTTTCCTCGACGCCGAGAAGCACATCTTCACCCTACGCCTCTCTCTCTCTCTCTCTTTGGTGGGGAGCAACATGTCAGACAAAAGGGGAACAAGCCCTTCTCGCCTTCAAGCCCGTGACGTTGTTCCGAACTCTACACCCCAAGCACGTGGACGAAAGACAAGCCAAGGCACGCTGAGAAGTGCCGTCGAGTACGCTGACCTTTACAAGAAGTGAGCCTGGAAGTGAGTGTGGCACTACACAAGCACTGCTGGGGCAAACGACGGAAGCTCTCCCAAGGCGGAACACCCCCTGGGCCAACCCCGCCCCCTCCGAGCAAGGGGGGGCAACAGTCCCCCAAGCAAAGAGTGCAGCACTTGAGATGGTCTTTCTTTCGGCAGGGTTATGGGCAGAGGGGAGACCCCCCTGCCCGCGCGCCGTCGGCGCCCCCGACAGGTGCGGAAGGCAATTGGGGAAAATGCATACCCGACCAAGGCAAGTTTCGCCATAAGTTTCGCCATTAGTTCAAAGCAGACACAACCAAGGGAACAACCCCAAAACAAGCACAATACGCTAGAACTGCAGGAACTTGAGAGGTGTCTCTGTCTCTGTCTCTGTCTCTGTCTCTGTCTGCGTCTGTGTCTGTGTCTCTGTCTGTGTCTCTGTCTGTGTCTCTGTCTCTGTCTCTGTCTGTCTGTCTCTTTCTGTCTCTGTCTGTCTGGGTCTGTCTGTGTCTGCATGTCGGGCACCTGGTATGAAGTGCGATACTTCGGCACTACACTGGTCGATAGTTGTGCTGCAGTTTGCAAAGGCCGCATCTGTTAGTCTATGGCTGTAAAACGATTATTCATCAACTCTGTAAACGTGCTTTCCGAAATGCCTTTCTTCAGAAACACGCTCGAGCAGCTTGGCACTAACATCTGACCGGGCATTTTAGTAGTGTGAAAACATAACTCATAAATGATACCCGGCCAAGCTTCTCTGCCTAGGGATTGTAAGTGTCCACAATTGTCCGTTTTGTCTCATCTTTGTCCAGCCGCCGTCTGCCTAAACAAAAACCTGCATGCACAGGCAATCGGGTGATGCGTCTGAGCACCTCGTCACTGCGTGTCTGATGTCGCCTTGCACGGAGAAGAGCTCTGTTAGACCGAGTTCTTCTCTTCCACAGCTCAGTGCTGCTTCCCCAGAGTGTATCACCTGAAATTAAGCACGGGAAGCTCTGACTTCCTTTGCAGATGTGCGAGGGTCACCACGAAGTCCAGCAATGTGCTCGCAGAGCTGGACGATGCTGCCTGCAGAGCAGGCTTCAGGCCCAGGTTGATGGGCAGCAACTGCCAGCATTGCCTTGCCTTGCATTGCTACTCTCAAATCCTAGTGCTTGGCTCTAAATTCGTCTCCAATAAGCCAAAAGCCGCCGGTGCTGCACAGAGCCTGGCCCTTCAATGCCCGCATCTGAGACAAAACCTTGCCAGTCAGTCGCAGCGAGGGTTTCCCTAAAATCTGCAAGTCGCGACGCTGACGAATAACTCCGTTGCGCTTCTTGGGTCCTCTACCATCTCTTCGCTGTCTTAGCTCTACATGCGCTTGCATGACCGGACACCGGCGAAGTGCCTCGACAGAGAAGCCGTCGGCTCTGCCTCGAGATGTTCCGGCCTCGACCCATCGGGCACCAGCAAAGTAGCGGCCAGAGGGCTTGCTAAGGATTCGACATTCAAGTAATTGCCCACATTAAGAGTGATGCCCAGCAGCCTGCATGCACTGCAGCTTCCAAGCTCTTCCATCGAATCAGCTACACCTACTGGCAGATTGCATGCTGGCGGAGGCCGGACGACCGGCCTTGGAATCCTGTGCGAATCTCTTAGCGCATGGCACGCCTGAAAAGAGAAAGTGGTTCTTGGGTGTGCACTCGCAGATCGGGCTTGGGACCACCAGTTCCCTTGAATCTGCAAAGAGTCTCTGACATCCTTGACTTCCGTCACGGCCGAGTGGAAGATGTGAAAGCGCTCTTCGAATGCATTCCTGTCATTTGCTCCGGGTGGCCAAGCAATGCCCGGGAAACGCGACAATCAGACAGGGCAGGCTCAAAGGACCATGTCTGGAGTCTTACTAGGAAGTGTCCCACCTGCACCGGGCTCAGCTCCACTGTCCACATCACATCAAACCAAGTCAAATCCACGATGCGAGATCACACAACTGAGACACTTCTTGCCTCGGCAAGTTTCCACACAAAATCTTCAGCATCATCCCAGGGCAGGGAGGCCTCTCAGCAAGGTCTATGACTGGTCTATGCCATCCGGGACCATCTGCTCCTCGCCTTCTCAGGCATCTCCTTCGCTGCAGCATGAAGCATGGTAAGCTCCTGAAACACGATGTCAGCACTTCAGCACACATGACATCCAATGTGCTGAATTGCCGGCGGTTGCAGGTAAGCCATTATGCGCCGACTGTCGAACGCCGCACTCACCCTAGTCTTGTGAAATCAGTCACGCAGACACAGATACCCCGCACATCGATGTATTCAGGCATCGGGGTGAGATTTCACTGTGCACACTTGGTGGTGGACGGGGTGTCGTGCACGCGTGCCCATCTGGCATAATCACAAGCTAGCATAGGTACTCGTGCCGCCAAGGCACTTCTGCAGTAGGTGCTGTCGCCAGGAGAAGCTCCACCTTAGCATCGGCTTTGGAGCCGCTGTCAGCTGGCCATCGAGCCCAGGGCCTGGTCCTTGTCCAAGCAATCATCATCCATGTCATGGATCGCTTTGACCTGGACAGCAGGGCACGCATCTCCGCCGCTTCCGCCCCGCATTTCCGCCTCCGCCTGTCTGAGCAGCCCACGGTCGTCTCTACCGGCGGTAGTCGAGCAAGCATTATGCAGACCTACCACGAATCTGGTTTCTTTGCACCTACCCTATCCCAGGAAACCCAGTCGCCTGTCGACGGCGGGATTCCTCAAACACTCTTGCTCTGAGTCTGGTTCGTCGGTGCACCGCCGAGCTGCCTCCTGCCGACAGCAGACATGTCCACACCGGAACCTACAGCATTGAAGCCCCTCCCAACCCCAGAAAAAACCTCCCCAAAGAATTGAAATGTCTCTTAGTCTTAGTTTCCAGGGATCGCAGTCTGATTTCTGTCTTCAAGAGTGGGGGAAGCCGTACTCACAACAGCCAGAACCTAGACGGCTTCGAGGACTGCGTGTGGATGGCTGGCTGCCGAACCCAGAACGCTGAATTCGTAGAAAACTGAACCAATACTCGCAACAAGCGGCCTGCTCGGATTGATATCTGGTTCTGAGGGCTGCCACAAAACTCTTGTTCAGCTGACATGCAGACACATTGAAATTGAAGTGGTCTTGGCACTGCCCAAGAGCATCAAACCACACCACTCCCATTGGCATTTTAGGCATTTAGGACCTCGCATAACACTGTGCCCGTCCGCATTCCTGCCGAACTGCTGCTGGAAAGTTTGTGGCAAAACTTACAAGATGTGGTGCACGACCTTCTTCTACGACCTTTCTTCTCCCTTTCCTTCACAGCGTGCTGCGGAGGCGGTAGCTGGCACTTGTAAAGTTTCACCAAGCACACCTCAATAGCTTGAGTAGCTGAGTAGCTCTGAAAACACGGCCAACAGACCATGAATATGGACACAGGTACCTGGCAAGCCAGCATGCCGAAGGCTGAGGGTCTCGAGTGGAAAACGCGGACACGCGAACCCGCACGAGGTGCAGTACCGGATGCCACCGTTCTGGTACGGGACTGAACCCCGGCTCCTGTGGTATCACTTCTGCAGCCATGCATGTCAGGCGCCCAAAAGCATCAGCGATGACCAAGCTTGTGGACACTTAGTGACAGCATGTGACAGCATAACCAAGGCCCGATGTCTGTCTCCTAAACTGCTACACGTACTTGTGGCAGCCATTACGAGTATCTTCCATTCCTTAGCTGTATCCTGTAAGAACCCTATACTGGATTTCCTAGACCTGCGTTGCATAACTAACATACCAAGCACATCCAGGCGGCTTTGAATGTGCTCACCTAAACAAGTCTTCAGAATATCAGCGTACCAACCTTGACATCATGGCATTGCGACATCTGTGACATGTTGCGCTCCGTGTGACACGGGAGTTTGCACTCCAGAGCGAGACGACCTGAGACAGCATCAAGCCAATCAGCCGCCGACCCCAATTCCTCCGCAGCAACTCAGCAGCCAACGTTTCCGAAAAAAGCTGTTCTAGCTCCTGCAGGCAGACATGTGGTCGAGAGTTAAGTATTGCATAGGCCTCATAGGCCAGAGCTGGCTTACAGAGATCCTGCACGTCGAAGCTGTAGAGGTCTGCATTCTCCTTCTCGATTGCTGCCCATACCTGCATTGAGAAGTGGTACCATCCATTGCTACGATAATCAAAGCTCAAGAGAATGGTTTGATGAGCTCCGAGCATTTTCACAGCTTCGGAGGTGCTCGTCATCCAGCCTCTGCAACACCCTCTTTACCGAAGCATGGCTTCCGCGAGAGCATGTTACAGCTGTCTGGGAAAACCGCACGAACGCATTCCAGAAGAGCTTTTTCATGGGAAGTCGTGGCTGAATCTCTGCCTGGATAGCGGAGTGTAGGCTGGAGCTACACGGCAAAGACTGAAGTTTTGCTGGTCACATCTGGTCACAACTTCCTTTGTGTACGCCGAGTGTACGCATACTTGACGAGTCATGTCATGTGATTTCATGGTCTTCCGATGTCTTCCGAGCCTTTCTCGGATTATGTGCTTCCTTGGTGAGCCCAGCCTGCACCCAAGCAAGCATCAATGCGCCACGGCGCCACAGCGGGCGAACGATGCAGGACGTTAGTCCAACCTTTGCCCCTGCTCGCGGTGGAGCCTCACAAAGGTCTACCATCGATCGACAGTCTGCGGAAGGACATCATGGTATAGCAGAAGAGCCTTCGGAGGAGCGGGCTTGCCTTTCCCCTTGCCCTTCCCGGGCGCCGGCGGTGGCGGTGCTGAAAAAGCTCCCTTCGCACCTCCCAGCCCACTTCGAATCTTTACTCGACGACATGCCAGCCTCTCGCGCCTCCTTGCGGAGGGGGCGGCCCTTTGCCCTTCGGTAAGCTTTTCGCACTGGCTCCTTTCGGGCAGCAACGACTTCAGAAAAGAGCTGGCATATCCGTACTAGTTACTAGTACCACGAATGCCACCTTTTTGCATCAGCCAAGGATTCAATACATCTCTGTGTCTTAGTTGTAGCTTCTTTACGCGCGGCTACCGAGATGAGCGATGCGGCATGTCCATACAGCTCGACTGTTTGCCTTGCCACTGGAGAACGTGTCAATGTAATGTCAAACCGGATGAAGTGCAATAGGTCGGAGAACACCAGAGAGTCCGTTTATTCCGTTCCTTCCATTCCTTCCATTCCTTCCATTCCTTCCATTCCTTCCATTCCATTCCATTCCATTCATTCCAGTCGTTCCTCTCATTCCATGCATTCCGTTCATTTGATTCATTTCATTGATTCATTCTTTCATGCAATCATGCCTTCATTCCTTCATTCTTCATTCCTTCATTCTTCATTCCTTCATTCGTTCGTTCGTTCGTTCATTTGTTCCTTCATTCATTCGTTCATTCATTCGTTCATTCATTCAATCGTTCAAGCATTCCTCCATCCATCCATCCATCCATCCATCCATCCGTCCGTCCATCCAACCATCCATCCATCCATCCATCCATCCATCCATCCATCCATCCATCCATCCGCTCCTTCCATTCCTTCCATTTCCTTCTCTGGAGGGCTGGAGGTTTGGAGGGCTGGAGGGCTGCAGTCAGTCTGGAGGGTTGGCAAGCTGGAGGGCTGGAGGGCTGGAGGGCGTGCAGTGCTGCAAGGATTGTACAAGCCGCCTATGCAGCCATGCAGGCTTTATCCTTAGGGCGAGAGCGTAAGCCCAACTGAGGTGGAAGCTCAAGTTTCCGTGTTGGATGGCGGTCCGGAAATGAGTCAATTGATGAGTCCTGGTGGTCGGATGAGGGAGACCGGGTGAGGTCTCCGGAGGCTCAAGCTAGAGAGCTGCTGGAAGGCTGCGACGGTTTGGAACCTCCTTACGAGTACATGTCCGTTGAGGGAGCCAGCTGAGGAGCTGAGGTCTCATCTCGACGTGAGCCCTGACAACATGCTGGGCTTGAAGCTGGAGCCGGAGCTGCTGCAGGACGGAACGATGGGAACGACTCGGTTCAAGCAGCTGCTGGCCCAGAATCGTTGAGCGAAGAGCTGGCATATGCTCGTCAGGAGGGTGGAAGGACTACTGAGTCTGAGGGCTTTGGCTTGTACAGACCTCGTAGTAGAGAAGGAGTAGGTTTAAGAATGGGTAGTGAAGCTTCTGGTGAAGGTAGGGAGTCAAGAGGAGTGAGAGCGCTTACAGTAAGGGATTGAGACGTGCAAGCCACAAGCGTGCGGCGGCCTTCGCACAGGTAGGTCTGCCCGCACAGGCAGGTCCAGGCTTTGCAGGTCAGGTTGTTTCGCGAAGCTACGGATGAGCTGCTGAGACAAGTTCCCTTGTCTCTTTGCCAGTTTGGAACTCTGAAGGAGTAGTTGTGCACTTTAGTGAGAAAGGTAAGGTTGCACGCTGACGTGTCAAGCGCAGCCATTCCTGAAACAACGTATGCTTTTCTTATGAATCTGGCGCAGGAGGGACACGTGCGAGGAGTTATAGCCAGCCCGCCCTATAGATCTTTCTCAGGGTATAGGTACGTAGCTGGCTCATCGGAGGGAGCAGACTGTGCTGCTGAGAATCCATTAAGACTCAGAGGTGCAAGCAAGGCTGTGGAAGGAGTGACTCTGTCAGGCCCAGGGGCAGCTGCGAGGCGTTGTGTTGATATTCTGGTGCTGCGAATGCTTCTGTTTAAGTGAAATGTGCTGGTCCATGGTGAGAACTGAGAACTGGATGATTTGCCATGCAGATATGAGCACAGCTGCCTCCTTGCTCCGCTGCTGATTTTGGAGCTATTTCACCTGCAAGACCCCGCACGACATTCCACGCTCTACTCAGAGCAACAGAAATTCCTGAAACTATCCGCGGAGCAAGGCCTTCAGCGATGTCGGATGTTCCTTCAGAGTCCGCCTGCGAGGTCGACTTGCGGAGCCGGACATGAAGTTTACGCAGTTTGCCTTCCCCATCTTTTCCACACTGTGCTTACTGGAGTCGGATGCCTGCAGTACGAGATGCCTCCAAGCACTAAAGTCACTAAGGCCGTTGGACGAAGGCCCAGGCCTCATGGCGTGGACTTCCGCCACCGCTTTTGGAGTCGAAGCAACTGCTCTGGTTGGAAATGCGCACGCTTCGGCTGCGCTGGCTTGCTACGGGAGTGCGAACTGGAGCACTTCGCGCAGCTACCGAGTCCTGCACTGGATCATAGCCAACATTAGCCAACGCATGCCCATCATTCAGGAGTTAGGGGCTGGCGTCCTCACTCAGTGTTCGCGACGATGATTCCTTCACTGCTACCGCGGCAGAAGCAAGAAGCGAAAGGAAGCTGACCAAGATTTGAATATGTTTGAATCTCACCAGTCACAGGGCAATACTTACTGAAAGGCTGACATGCATGCCCATGTGAAATGCCGTGTTTCGTGTCCTCGTCTTGTCTCGGAGGGGGAAGTCCCTTGCCAACCTGCAGAGACTAGATTGATTATTGCAGGCTGCAATGCTATGCCCGGCTGCCCTGCTCAGCCCGCCACCTTCAAAGGCGAGCCCTTTGCCAATAAAGTCTCCAACATCGCCTTGTTTTCTGCCCAAAGGTAGCAAGCGTGCAGGGCATGTCAAGAACCCTCTCTGCATGCCTCTGGGCTTGAAAGCTCACCGACGTGTCCTCTGTTCAAACTCCTCGCCCCTCTGCTTGGCCATCCCACGCCCCAGCCCGGAATGGTGGTTGCTTTCGGCAGTCTTCCCGCTGTAATTGAGAAATAAATCCACGTTCATAGGACCGGTAAGTTCAGGAATGTTTCGAACTGATGCTCGCTCCCGCTTGCTGGGCTCTGGGCAACACGCTCGCGAAGAGCCTCTGTCACCTGGCACATGTCCAGACCATCGGAGTTTGAAGATCCGCTCCTCGGGGCCTCAGGGGAGTAGGCTTGCCGGGAATCGGCTTGGATGCGTACCTCGGCTCGAAGCTTTCAATCCCAGAGTACTGCATTGCCGCATTGCCATGGCAACCTGCCGAGGTGTCGGTGGATGCCCAGATGTCTCGGTCTGCAACACGCTGCGTCTTCAACACTCCACGCCGATCCACGCGGGGCGACGTCGCCTTGATGGCTCCCTGGCCCTCCATACGCTCGCTGTCATCCGGCGCCTCTTCCCGGCCTGCAGAGAAATCGCAGGCTTGAGCATGCTTGAGCAATCTTGCATCCGCGAAGTGCATCAGATGCGCCATGATGCAGTGTTGTGCTCTGGTGGTTTGGGCCGCGATTTGGCGTTGTTCAGAACGTTATATTCCACAACCCGAACCGCATCAGAGCCAGCGCAACACCCGCCCTGGCAAAACAGCAATACAGTGGGAATTCCCCCGTTCCCGCACTCGTCACAAGCTCCTCAACCAGCCCCTCTCAAGTCTCAGTTGCGATCGCGTGGCCTGTCACTTCAAAGTTGGTCGCCGGACTGCCTCCAGGTCGCTTGCTGCAACTACCCTGCTCACATTTCCGCATCTGCTAGCCTGGATCTCGGATGTGCACGTCCTGTGGTTCAGAACTTGCACTTCTCCGATCCTGGATATCATTCAGCTGGCACAAGACGCACCATGCATCCGGCAACCAAACCTATTTTGTCAGATCGCTGACTCTGCCGTAAACTTCGTAGCCGAACAGGCCCGTGCCTGTGCAAAGGCTTCAGAGCCGAAAGAGCTCCTTGCACAGAGCTGCAGCATGCTGCAACTGTACAGTGGCGCACGATGAAAGAAGCTGCTACTGGCTAAGTAAGGGCTGCGGGCTTCCTGAAGACACCTGACGGCATTCTGGGGACAACCCACTGGAAAAGACAGCAGCACACAAATGCGTCTAGTCTCCTGAAAGGTGTCCGCTCCGCATTTGGCGAGGCTTGTTGATCTGCGGTATAATCCAGTTCCACAGATTTCTGAACTGCTTGCGTGTACAGATGCGCTTCAATCATCAGAGGCTGCAACCAGGTCCCGCAGCATCCTTGTGTCTGTTCCTGAACAATCAATGACCACTGTTACCAAACCCTTCGATTCATGATTGATTTTCATTAGCAGTAGCAGGGTTGCAAGTTGCTCCCCAACGCCACATTGCAGCAGGGCAGCCTGATAATGTCGACCAGGCTTTGCTTTGCCAGCACGACTTCCGCACTCGACCTGTGCGAGGCGGGAACCGATACTTCACTGGAAACACTGGAACGTGAAAACAACACGACAGCTGAGGACACAAACACAAGCGACAAAACACAGGACACAGGAAGGGTAACGGGGAGACGGCAACACCACAACACCGGAAACACCGATTCAATGACGGAATCTCGCGATGCGCGGACGAGGCGAAGCACCGAAACGACAGGAGACCCAAGCACTGGAACACCGCCACACCGAAACATCGGGATGCCAAGGCAACGGAACATTTGAACACTAAGTTCAGGACACACTCCGAGATATCGGCACATCGTCATGATCTGGAAACCGACGCAACTGCAACGAAGTCATCAATAACCAGGACATTGATTTAGACAGCGCATGGTGATCCACGACACCAACACATTTACACGTCGAGGCACGTGCACCCAGCGAAACCGGATGGCTGAGACTATGGCATGCCAGCTGTAAACTCCGAGACTGATTCTGAAACGCTGGGGCGCCGGGACAAAGGAAAACTTAGCGGAACCCTGGGACACTGAGACATGCGATAACAGTACGAAACACCGAGACTGCGAGACTACCCTTAAGAGCGTGACGGTGGCTAGACAGCAATGATCTGGAATGCATCGGCACAGGTGGCCCTGGAGGAGAAAACTTGCGAAGAAGCACTGAGCCCCCTGTAGGATGAACTTGTGAAGGAAATCCACTAGCTCAAGACGCAAACAAACTTCCAGAAATACTGCACACTGTTCAAAAGCGCAGGAAAATCACATGCGATCACCTGGGACCAGAACAGGGTTTATAGGAACAATCTGCTCAGAGGCAAAAGAGCCTTTCTTGAGGGTAGTGGTTGCTGCAATGTTGGAACATGTTGGAACTGACAGCATGCAGGAGCTCTGCTGCACAATACGTCAAAAAAGAAGCTGCTGAACGTGCGACATGCACAGAATACGAAAGGCTTGCCCGAACAATGCACGACAAATGATGAAATACTCACCATACAAGAAAGGAATCTTTATCTGCTTGTGCATGTTCATCTATTCATTATTCCATCGATACTTGCATTCTCACTCCGCGGCATCTCGACTCTAGACTCGAGACGCTAAGAGACAGGCGGAGATCCCGACAGACTCGGCACGGATCGTTCCTGCCACAATACAAACAATCACCACAGCGCAGACGATGACTCTGGTCCGAGTGCTCAGCTGTTGAACCGTAAGGATTTGGTGAGCACGAACCTCCCGGCAAGTCCTGGCCCGGAGTTCATCTACGTTGGCGTGCTTCGCAAGACCAAAACTTTTTCGCGAGGTCCGTTCGAGCAAAACTTTCTCGCCAGCCTGCTCGCAGGTCGCTAAGTGCCGCTTCTTGTCTGCTTCACTCAGCATCAAATCATCAAGCAGGACACCAGCTTCAAGCGCGCTCACGACAGACCTGCCAACGCTGACGACACGAGGGCCATCGGGGGCACAGGGCGCAAACAACCACTTGCAAAGATCTCGCATGGCCCTGCCTCGAAACTTTCCAGCTGGTCTCTGGCTGCACCTCAACTTGAAAGATGAAGCCGACCGGAGCCGACACTTTTGCTGAGAAGTGAACGGATCGGCTGCTGGGAGAACATTGTGCCCTGAGCGAAGTTTTTGCCCTTGTGCTCGGTCCACATACGTGTACGTTTCTGAGGGACGAGCCTCAAGTCAGCAAGACCGGCAAAACCACGGTCTCCTTGAACCACGACATACCCAAAATCACCCAAACCGCATGACCATGGCATCATGCCTCTCAAAGAAACGAAGAGTCTTTCGTCCCGAGGACCTGCAGACGTCATTCCAGGAGCATGTGGTGCCAAAAGAAAGAACCTCATGGAGATTGCCGAGCCGTGCGCCGGAAGGAGAAGCTTCCACCTCCTCGTCACTCAGATTGCAACCAGGTGGCAACCGCTAGCCGCTAGCGTGGACATCAACACAAACAGATGCCGGCCTTGGAAGAGGACCATCGCAGGCACCTGTCGCCTCTGCAATTTAGAGATTTGGGCTGACACAGCATCCCGATTCAATGCACAATCGTCGGTGCTCGTTGACATACGTTGATCTGCGTTGGCAGAACGCATTCTCGAATAGCAAGCACGCGAGCACATGAAGAAGCCAACCCGGCGGCGAAGTCACGTCGGCTGTATGGGATGATAGCCATCTATATGCAGGGACCCTTCAAAAAACCTTTCCTGGTCCCAACTTCCTTTTTTTGAACGTGCAGCTTGATTGGCCTGTATGTCTTGGCGGGGCTTCTGATTTCCAGAAGTAGGGGAGCATTCCCACCACTTCCTCGTTTAAGGGTCTTGTCGGCATGCTTCAATCACCTCTGCGTCGCGCCCCCTTGACTGTGGAATGGATCCATGACACCGGTTGCCGCCCGTCAAAGCTTAGCTTAGCACGGCCCAAAGCAGCGGCAGCCTGCAGCCCAAGGGGCCCCTGCAGTGATGCGGCCACGTCTCAAACAGCACTGCACATCTGAAAATTACAGGGGCGCTGCAATTGCGGCACCAGAAAGCTTTTGTTGTGCTTCAGCATGGTTTAATCGCGTAACCTTGCCAGTGGCGTTGAAATGGGCTCGTTCGTCCTGTCAATGCCGTCGGGCATCTTCATTTCCTAGGGTATCTATCTCTCCACTTGCGGCAGGTTCTCCTCAGAACACCCTGTCTGGTAGAGGAGGATGTCTGGGTCTGGGTTCGTCGTTGCAAAGGTCGTTCTCCGCGCAGTACGGGTTCGAGGTGTGGTCCTCCTTGTTGGGCATCGGCCCAGTTTGTTGCTGCCTTTGGCATTTCTTCTGCAATAAAGTGTCCCCTGGCAGCAAGGCATTCAAATAGGCTGACTCCACGGCAGCCTTACTGCTGTCTCGGGAGGCTGCATTCTACTCGGTTCTGACTCGGTGTTCTGAGGTTTGCCTCGTGATCTGGTCACTCGCCTCACTGGCGTTGGAAGTGTTACAGGAGATTCTGGGTCATCTTGCGCCGCTTGCTGGGTGTCCTCTGGCTCCTCCAGCCCATAGGTCGCGGCGCTCCACGACATGCTCCTTCTTGTTTTGCTCCTCACTCTTCCTCCCGTCTTGGGGTGGGCGCCCCGTGTAGAAGGGCTGCTGCCAGTGTGGTCCTCGATCAGCTTGGCCTTGGCACGGTCAAGGCGGGCTTTCAAGTCGTTACAGACCTTGTGAGCTGCCTCGACACCGCGCACTTGAAGGTGTTCGCTCACGATTGTCCCAACGTGCAACTCTGCATGTTGACGTAGGCATTCGGGCCCGCCGGCAACAGGACCAGACCTGCCTGACTTTAGCACGCCAACTGTCTTTGCTTCTTTCCCGGCTCCTTCACCGCCGTGGAGGTATTCACCTCGGCAAAAGCCTTCTGCACTGCACCGCTCTCCATGCCATCAGCAATTTGTGTAAATCGGCACCGTAGAGTCCAGGAGTGCCGGGTATCGCCGACTGCCCAAAAACCGGAACGATTACAGCCGATTCTTGATTGCCTCCGTTTCTCTAAGCAACAGTACCAGTACCCAATCAGCATGGTCCGAAGCCGAAGGTGCGCAGCTCCCAGCGCGTCTTCTCGAGGAGCGGCTTGAAAAATTGCCCCGTGCCTCTCCGTGATGAGTCACGATTCTGTCACGAAAGTTAGCCAACCTTTCTGCGTCCCGATGAAGGCTGATCACTGGGCCCTAGCAGCCTGGCCCAGCTCTTTTTCAGCAGCCCACACGTCACGGAGCTTCTTGCTCTTGACTCGCTCCACCAGGTAGCTGGTCCCCACGCAAGCCATGCTCGAAAACCACTGTGCCTGGGAGCCGTCGTGGTTGGGCACCTGCGTGAGCTCGACTCCTATATCACCACGTTTGGCGCATATGAACGCGTCGCAGCTAGAACAGCTATAGGACACGTGAAGCTGCAACGAGGCACGGCGGCGTTCACTCACAGAGAGCCCGCCCTTGCAA